TGTAATCATTATCGATCATCGTCCATCTCGGATCTATCAAACGCTAATTGTGAGCTGCTTGCAAAATTTAATAAAGGAAAGATGATATGGCTTCTCAGTTTCACGTTCCTTCTTAAAATCTGATTGGTCACCTAAATTACTCTAAAATATCTAGGTGAGCTAATAAGATAATTACGCGTGTTAAAAAATAGAAGTAGAAAAAAGAGACAATTTAGATGAATTTAACAGATACATAAATGCAATACATAATACATTAATTTTTTGAGAAGTTATTTGAAAAGTGTTTATAAAATAATTATTACAACTAGTAAATAAATTTTAAATTAGGACAATTAACAAATACTACAGCTAGTAAATAATATATATAAAATTACTACAGCTAGTAAATAAATAACATCCAATTCTATTATTACTGTGAATAAATATACATAAATAAATATAATACTGCAGGATAGATTGTATCAAACAAAAGTTATATTATTATATATATAATAATTTTATTGTTTATTATATTATTGAGTAAATTATATTAGAAAGAATATTACTAAGGGATATTTTTATGGAGTTACTTTTATTGCAAATATGAAACTAACGATGAGACCAAGATTAACATTAAATTCTAGCAAATTTTATTGTATCGCATTAAATTTACCTCTAAGATTGCAATATTATTTAATATTATAATGTAACAAAATTACCGTAATATCTTGACATTGATCAAGGATAAATTTATATTAGAATTTTAATAAAAATTGCAATACAAGCGATCGTCTACTTTCTCAATTCTCTATCGCTCTATTGAATATACCACTTATACAAAATTATTACTCTGTCGGTTCGCATCGTTCGCCACACTTCGATTTCATCTCTGTACGTGACACGATTTAAAAAAAAAAAAAAAAAGAAAGAAAAGGCACATAGGATTAAAATACGACGGAGCCAGAAGAGGTAATAACGTCAGGTTTACCTTTCGATCGACATTGCGGTTAACGTGACGACCGAGCAAATAGCCGAGACGCTCTGCATATAGTGCACCGACTTGCATAGAAACAAGCCCATCGTCCACGTATAGGAGAACAGCTTGGCCACCTGAAACAAATCCATCCGCGTCTTGTCAGATTCGATTGTTCCACCATCTTCCGGAAACACGCGTACAAAGGTAGACAAAATGTTTCGCACAGCCGATGAAAAATTATCGACATTCGCGAAACAAAATTATAAAATAATCCAGCTGGATTATCGCCCTCGTCTCTACTTTACTTTAAGTTCTTCTTTCCCAAAGATGCATTATGCTACAGTTTTTGCAATAGGCGCCATGATCTGCCACGATTTTGGAGATTGAAGAATTGAAGCTTGTTGAAACGATTTTTTCTCGCCATTTTATTGAACGTCGGATGTTAAAGTTGTATGGCAAAAATTCAAGAAATCGTAGTATTTTCATGGATTAAAGAATAATATTTTTAAATAATAAATGATTTTAGACTTCGGAACTTGTCAATGTTTTATTACTACGAACGATCATCGAACTCGTGCGTGAGAATTTACTCCAATTCTCTTTGAGTATATTTACAAAACAGTAGCTCACGCGCTCGAACGCAAAACATAGAAAGAAAAAAAAAAACGCAACAACTGCCCTGATTTTTTATCTCGACCGGATTCCAAAAGTTTCGGAAGAAAGGTCCGAAAAACAATACCACTGCGCGCGCGTGTGCGGAAAAAAATCAAGCAAGACAAAAAAAAAAGCACAGCGTGTATTGAAACGGAAGAAAAAAAAGGGGGATGCAGTAGGGGATGAAATAAAACGAACCCGGGGGAAAAACGTTTTCGTTGCGTCCTCGGAACGAGGCGAAATCGTCTCGCTCCTTGGGGAAACGTGTTTAATCAACCTCTTTCACAGAAGTTTCTCCTCTTGCTCAAAGAAGGTGAACTGCATTGAAATACCCTCTTTGTAGACGTTAACGAGCACGAAATGCATCTGGCCGAAATGAATTCCCGCGTTTTCGATGACTGACCATTTTAAACCCTCTTGATTAATTGTAACGATGTGCCATTAGAAATGTATTATATATTTAGCATTTAGATTACGGTTTCAACTATGCTACGATATCAAGACTAGTCTTCGTGTTTGGTTGTTTTACGAAATTAAATATTTAACAATTCCCAGATAATTAATAATTTGATTTTCGAAACGTATCGCGAGTAAACATTCAATATTTATCGAAGTGTTGCAATGTGCGAGTGTGTATAATACGTGGCGCACAAAATACATATTGGAATAATGATAGATCTATTATGATGATATAATAACAGTATAGACGTAACGATAAGTCTATTGTAAATAATTATACGATGTAACGATCTCTCCAATACCATAGTGTCCGAATGTTAATCACTAATTGGTTTCAATTTAGACTGTTAAAATTCGTGGTTCACGTTGCTCAATTTTTGAAAATGTTTTCTACATTTAATTCGATTAATTCGGACGTAAAATGCGAAACGAAATTAATTATAATAAAACCTCGAATATCATTCTGATTACTATACGATTCGAGAATTGATAACAAAAGTCATTGTACATCGTGCGAGTATCGGAAGAGAATGAAGAAATAAAGAATTCAATGCAAAGAAATATCAAGACCAGGAAACGTCTGAATGTTAGTATCACACTTGTATTATACTCCTTTTTATTATGCTATGCTTTACTGCTGCAGTTTCACAGTTTCGTCGTCGGTAGTTCTAATTCAACTCCGCGACCTATGGTTGTTGCTGGCTGGATCGTGTTGCATCGAGCGCCCAGCTTAACTGGAGCAATTGAGAACAGCTTCTCCTTACGTTTCCTTATTTTCGCCAACGATTCGTCTGCTCCTCGGGTTTTTCGTAGCCGAGCCAAAGTAAAAACGAGATTCACGTGGCTCGGTGCTAAAATTACCGGCAACTACAGTGCGAAATTTGTAGTTAAAAGGTTAGAGTGAAGGTTAAATGAAAAAGTACACGGTCGAGAGAGGCGAAGAACGAAGCTCCATTAAAACGTACATACATTTGATAAAAGATCATTCGAACTTTCAAAAATCTCCGCTATTGTAAATCTATACAACTTTCACACCAATATTCTGGATGTTCTAAATTCCAGATATTCTAATGATCTAGATGTTCAATATTCTAGATATTCCATTTAAATATTCAACTTTGGTAATTCTAATATCATTCATTGTAAGTTAAACTACTGACTTTTCAAATGAGACTTTAATAGTACATTTAATAATAATTTATTGTATAATTTATTATTATATAATAAATATAATATATATTATAATATATAATAAATTATATAATACTGTTATTAAGTTATATATATTATAAATATAAATAATTATATGATACTAATATATAAATAATACTATATATACATAATTATATAACGCTAATAATAAATACGTATTTATCAAACACAATTGATTAAGTTAAATTAATAATAAATAATTAATCAAAATAACATATGACCTCATCTATTTTTCCAATGATTAATTATTATGTATTACATAGTTACATAGGTCATTTTACAGTAATCGCGTCCTAAGAAATTCAATGGAATACAAGAGTTTTTAAACCTGTCTCAAACGACATAGATTTGTTATCTTATTGTTAGACACTTTTCTTCATGGAAGAAAATTAAACAAATATTCTAATTATTCATGACAGATTCTATAATTAAAATATTTCTTTCACTTAAAAGCATGCCAAGGCATCAAAAGATTTGTTCTAATAAATAAATGAATTTCGTTACATTGCTAAAAACTTTAATTAACTACATTTAAAGCTCGAGATTACAATTATAATATTCTTGTTTCTCAGAGAAATGTAAATGGAGATTTGCTTCGTTCAAGAAGCAAAGAATAATATAAAGACCATCTACATGCATGTTACGGAAAGTTAAATAATTTTTATTAACAGGATAGTAAGATTCACAATTCATTCATTATCACAATTATAATCTCAGGCAGATCATAATGATTATAGCAAGAATTAGTTTGCACAAATTTCTCATCTCTTTAATGATAAAATTACATGATTTTCAAAAGTCAGCCTCGATTGGAGTATCTTTTTTCTAAATAAAATCTAATCTCTATCTCTGATTCGCGATCATCCGCCAGCAATTTTCTTATCGCGCCTAATCGGATTACACTCCAGCTGCGTTCAATTACCACAATCGACGGAACTCTAATTGCATTAATTTCAATTAGTGTTCCTACGCGCCTTGGAGAGGCCTGCGTGATACTTTATTCAGTAATCATACTAATCATGCTACGCTGTCTCTCTCCGAGTTCATGAGAGTCTGAAGCAATCCGCGAGCAAAGTTTTCAGCTCCTAGACTTTGTAATTCGTATTTAACGATCTGGTTGAATAATTAAGAGTTTATTAATTTATTATAGAGTCGTTTGGGATTTTCGATGAATATGTCTCATTCATACGTAATACGAGGATCGATTTGTTAAATAATATATCGTAGATATATCATATCATGAATGAATTAAACTATAATATAATTTAAAAAGTCATATTGAAATACGATCAGATTAAATTAATGAATCGAATCATAATTAAGTATTATAGATATATATTTGTATTATAAATAATGTTACAGATATATTTAAATTATATTTATATAATATATTTTATAATACAATATAATATAATTTACAATATTATATATTATATATTTTATATATATTTAGATATATTTATATTTATATCATGTTAGAAATAAATTCGATGTGTCAATCTTTGATATTATTTATATTATTTATTTCGATATTATTTATTCACAGAACTTACAGAGGGCAAGATGATGCATTTGTCATCTTACCAGATAATGATTCATTCATTCTGCGTATTTCATTCAATTTACGTATTTTACACTTTATTTCTTAGTACCACGAAATTAGATTAAAAAAGATCAAATAAAAATGTTTGGTCACAAGATGCTTCGTTAGCTCCATTATACGACATACAAGAAGAACAATCTTGTGCTAATGAGTCGTAAATATTTAAACTGATGGCGCGAAAGGGTTGGTTCACTCTACCAGAATTATATTCATTCATTCGCAAATTAATTTTGAATTTTGAATTACAAATGACAGTAGAATCATTGCTTTTGCACATATATTTTTGTTTCTAAAACGTGTCAGATCGTTTTTTTTTTTAAACAGCTTTTTCATACAAGATCGTATTTTGGGATAATAAAATAATTACATCTATTATTCAAAAATGTCAGCTAATCCAATAAATTGACTAAGACCGTCAATTTTCAATTACAATTTAATTTCAATTTTAATTCAAGAATAACAATAAAATTATTTATGTAAAATTATTCATTCATGTATACATATTTTTAATACATATTTTAATAAATACAACTTTTTTTCTATGTAAAAAACATTTTTACACTTGTACGCATAATTAGTAAAATAGCCAATTAACTTATGAATTAATTCTTAATTTTGGACGAAAATTAACAATAAAATTATATTCTCTTTTTTTCTCACGTACTTCTACTTTCACTTCTACTTTTACTTTTACTTCCACTTTTAAAACATGTGGAACCATCCCACTGAAACGCAATGCTGTACAAGAAATAAAGAGAACATCCTGCTAAACTAATTTAAATAGTAGATTCTACTAGATCCGCATCCAACAGTATGGAAACAAGGGGAAACGAAAGGCACGGACGCAAATTAACAAGTTCGTTCGGTCGTTCACGTGAGCCGGTTTTAAATGACGACGGACACCGTATCAGAGAAAAATAAGGCTTTTCCATTCGATCTGACAAGTCACTTTGCTAATTCAATCCATGGGAATCTCTCGCGCAGAGCATACTGAATTTCCGTTGTCATCAATGGCTGAACAAACGCGAGTTAAAGGGAAACTGGGAAGCTGAAACTGACTCTCGAAAAACAAAAATGGTAATCCATGGTTTCTGCGACTCTCCTGAGCCCTTATAACTAATTTCATCCTCGTTTTCAAACAATCGGCGTATCGTCAATCAACCGAAAGAAGTAGGGAAGGCTTTGAGACAGCGAGCTCCACGTATCGTTGTGTTCCAAGAA